CAGGTTTCACACACCCTGCTGCCGGTGTGAAGAGAGAGCGGTGAATGGTTTAGCCTAATGTAATTAGTGGAACAGATATCAGAGCCGCTGAAGGTAAACTGTGGTAAATCACATTTGCTTGGTTCTTCATCACAGTTAGAACTTCTTTCTTTCTACTTTCAGGCTGCCGACTGAACAGCTGTGGTTTGAACGTGTTAAATATATAATTCCCCGATGCTCAAGACAAACATTTTGAGAAAAACATCTTTTTCCCCCCATGTTTTTCACAGCTTTTTTTTTTTTAATGCATAACCAAACATTATTTTTGGACCACGTTGACAGCTCTATCCTTGGTTTGGGTGTTGTTCACTATTTTTTATTTTTTTTGCATTTATTTCAGGATTTAACAAGAATCGTCTAATCTGAATTTCAAAATAGTTACTTATTCAGATAAAAACAAATTTAATTCAGCTTTTTTTTCCTACAGATTTTATACTGGCATTTAAGTGATCTGTTAAATAAAAAAAAAGATTAAAAAATCTGTTTTATAATTAGTTATAAACTCAGGTGACACTTTAGATGTGTTGTTTTGCCCAAGTAAATTTCAAAAACATTACATTTTTTTTAAACTCAAAGCTTAAAAAAGCTCCTGTTTTTTGCAGCTGTGGTGCACCCCGTCTCGATGACCAGTTTTCACTCGTTTCTATAACAGAAAAAAACGTCTCTCCGGCTATGCACATATGTTTAAATCTAGCAAACTGTTTACACAATCCATGAAATCTCCAAAGGAGATGAAGAGGAGGATTGTGGTGTCAAAGCCGAACAGAAATATCTCTGTAAGGCTGCTCTGTGTTCGCTGAATGGCTGAGATTAACTTTCACACAGCTCACGCACCTTAATGCTGTGATTTCTGCAGGCTAGCACGGGAGAATATACCATGTTTTGGCAAATAAGTTCTTTGATCAACTTATCACGGTGTGCCAACTGGGGTTAAAAATAAAACCACAGCTTTTCTCAGGCGGCTTCACGCACCACTTTGATCTCCCGTTTGACTAGCACAACATTTTTGGATGTATTCAGTCAGAACTCAGCGAGATGTACAGTTCTGGCCAAGAGGATATCTTTAAAAATACAGAAATTGGGATAGAGCTGTTAAAAATGTTTTCCTTTCTTTGGCGAGAATATGAAAATCTTGTTTGTGATCCATTTCAAAGGATATGCTACATCCCGAGCATGGATTCCTTTTTTTTTTTTAAGGAGATGCCAAATAACTTTAAAAGAAAATCGTTGGTATCACGCTGTTTTTCAATCCTTCTCAAGTTGTTGTAGAGGCGATCAGACTGAAGGAAAAAATGAGCTTGTAGCATAAAAAGAATGAACTCTTCTTGATTAATTCTGCAGCAGCATGAAAAATCTTTTCTTTTCTTTTAAAAGAACAGTTCCACAAAGAAGGAAAAGGTTGAACGTCTGATTTGTGCTATTTACATTATTTCCACTGGATAAAGTCACACGCACAACACTCGCTGCAGACATTTGTATGTACAAAGGCGCACAGTTGAATGAGCACAACCCAGACAAAGACACACACACACACAAACACACGCTCCAAAGCAGGCTGGCACTCGTCTTTGCCCGTCTCGCGCCTTTCGCTCCACCAACACAATACTGTCACATTTTGGCGTGTCACATGGACTCGGAGACAGACAAGGCTGCATTATCAACAACTGGCTGGGGATGTGTGTGCGCGTGTGTGTGTATCAGAGCTCAAGTGTGTGCGTGAGAGTGAGAAAGAGTGTTAGAGTTCAGGTTAAGGCTGAGCCGTCAGCGGCAGACAAGCCCCATCAAGTCTCCCTCCTCTGTCTAACACGCACTCAGCCTCTCGCCTCAGGAGGTGAGAAGCCGCTAATTGGCAAAGGGCGAAACACACACACAGACACACACACACACACACTTGCTTTAACACTACACACACACACACGGACTGACGGTCAGCTACAGTCGTACACAGAATAGTACGAACAAAGAGACAGAAATACAAAGAGACAGATGGACACACACACACACACACACACACAAGTCTGGCTCTGAGAGGCAACACTACAGTTTGTCTGCTGCGCACAGCTCGACCTGGTAGACGCGCGCACATTACTGTAGCTAATAATACACGCTGTCTGCCTGCTGACTTTCTCCTCAACTTTCTCACTTAGTTATTATTGCATGACTTGATGGTTTTTAGTCACTTATATATTAATAGACTCTTTGAGTTGAGCCTGCGCACAGAGCTGACCTTAAAAGAGGGAATGCTCGTCCTCTGCTCTTTGGTTTTCAAACAAAGCTCAATTAAACCTCAGCTGCCCATGAAATCAACTCTTTAGAAACCGTTTTTATGAGATTTATACAGACATGTCATTAAAATGGGTCATATTAAACGGGACTAATAATAGACAAATGTATTTTTCCAAGTTGCTTTTTGTCACTTGCAACATAAACTGCACAGTTTTAGGAGCCGCTGTTGCGTACATCGATGGAAAATTTGAACATCTAAAGTCTCAGAACAAACTGGGAAACTATAATGAATGACATTGTGTTGCCAACAACTTTGATCCTTCACATTTAAAATGATTTAAGTTACTTCATAACCATGCAGGGAACAGCAATGAGAGTTGGGCAGAATGGTAAAACCTTCCAACCAGCCACTAGTGGGCCATTCAAACCACGAAGCCAGGAAAATACTACAACTACAACCAAATTACAGAAAATGTCACCTAAAAATAACAATCTGGTAATCTAATTAGCAAACCTCTGATGGCTGATGTATTTATCCAGTCGTCCCACCGTATATTGCAATGTTCTGGCTTCTTCCCGTCTCTCTAAGACTGAGTACAGGCACTATGAGAGAAGCTTGTTTCTGCTGCTTGTATCCATGATCTTATTGTTTTGGTCACTACCCCACAGACTGTTGTCATAGGTAAGAGTAGCACACAGATCAACTGGTGAAACACAGCTTTCATGCTCAGCTCTCTCTTTACCAAGGCATCTGTCAGTCTTCTAAACCACTCACCCACATCATGCACAGGACCTCGAGAGACTAGTGGAATAGACCCTATTCCAACTAACACTGCCTGAGATGTGGGATACAGTATTGGATAGGCTGGACTACCCAAAGAGAACCTACACAAGCACATGGAGAAGAAGCAAACTCTTTACAGAAAGGCCCCATTCTTCCTGTGCCGGTGACAGTACTAACCAGTGTACCAACATGCATCCAGCCACAGCTGTGAGAAGTTTAGACAGCAAACCAATAAAACCAATGTTTAAACAGTATTGTGTGCATGCCTCTCACCCTATGAGAGCTGGGATATTGTTCAGCACCCCTGCTCAACAAGCTTTACATCAACACCTCGCTTCATCACTGCTGCGACAAAAGGATAAAGACACGAGAGCACCCACTCCACACTGCTGCATACTGCTGCCACAGCCCAGGACTCTGACACGGCATCCCAAGAAGGTAAGCGCTGGGCTGAGTGTGTGTGTGTCAGCACTTTGTAAGGTTTGTACATGAGGGAAACAGAAAGGAGCTGGAACTTGAGAGTGTGCGTAGTGGGGAGGGTGGGGTCACAGACAGGTAAGCAGAGAGGGAGCGGGCAGAGCCAAAAACAGCACTAGCAGCACTAAATAATGCTTCAAAGCTCTTCTGCAGGTCTTGCACCGAGACCTTCAGGACAAGGAGAGCTGTGGTTGATTTGAATCATCTCTGACTGCTTTATGTACGATCAGCCATGCAGGCAAGGAACAAAAAAGATTGCATGTGCTTGAATTCTCTCTACCAGACTCTACCAGACAGGGGGGGAAACACACCCCTGCCCTTAATGCAGCTCACCAGAGAACAGAGCTCTGTAATAGAATTAATGTAAACCCGATCAGTGGGCTGGAATACAGTAAAGGCACAGAGCAGTGCTCTGCTCCTGCACAGCATCACATATAGATCAGCATGTTTAAAGACTGTATTCTGTTGAAATTTGGATCCATGGCTTTCTAAGATGTAGCAGACACTGTTTTGGGGTTTTTTTTGCTACTGGACCATTTCTGCAAATCTCTGCAGCAGAGGTTTAGGTTTAGCAGAGCCTGGGTTAAGATAAAACATGACCATGCAGAGAGTATGGGTCACTTCGGGAACACTGTGGATCACATGCATGACGGGTGCTTTTAGTTTAAGCTTCATCATCACCTTCTTAAACCTCCAGCTAGGAAGGCAGGGTGCACTATAGGAAGCGTGGGAGGGAGTCATGGGGTTCCTTAAATAGGTATCGGTCTCAAACTGGGAATGATGGGGAAGATGTTTCTGTGCTCCCTTATCACCCTACTCTGTTGCACAACTGTGGAGCAACTCTTGCCTGATGGAGCTTCTCGTGAGTGGGACCAGCTTACGTGCACCGCGCGCTTCATTTGCATAGGGAAAAAGTTGGAGAGCCTGTGGTCTGAGATATGAGTGACAGCTCAGGGGATCACCTTCCTAATCTAGCTTCCCGGCTAGCTTGTTCATCAAATCACACAGAACATGACAGCTAACGACTCAGGATGCAGGCAGGGGGGAAAGCACACCTCTCAGTGTGCGTGTGTGTGTGTGTGTATTCAGGGCGATAAATGATAAGAGCAAGTGCGGAGGTCACGGTCAGTGGGGAGGCGGCGATGCCCCGCAGGGACAGAGGCATAGCGGACTGCTGCTGTGGCCCCGGCAGGATGGACGGCTGCCAGAGCTAGCCTGCTCGCTGCTAATTTAGCCTAGCTGTGCTGTCTGGCGCAGCTTGGAAAAGCGGCTCCAACTCTAACCAGCAACTTAAACAGTCTGGCTCAAAGTCAGCCGCCCCTCACGCCGGCACAGCCTCGCTAGCGTTTTTAGCCACATCAGCTAGCATAACCAGAACATTCCTGCAGCCGCCTACGATCACACAATGTGCATTTACCAAAAAAAAAAAAAAAAACACATATAAATTACTCAGAAAAGGTCTCAGGCTTCCTACCTGTGAATGCAGCCGCTAACTTGCAAAGCCACCGGGTCTGCTTGTTTAAAGTCTGATGTTGTGTTGCTAGACGTCAAGTCCAACTGCACTACAGTGGTTTCCAGTCTGGGAAGCAAAATAAAGCCCAGCTGTCCTACTGTACAGTACATGCTGCTGACAGCCGGGCTCTACACAACGCTTTGGCGACACCTGCCGGGCACACGGCATTTAACAGGCAAAGTAGTAAAAGTTTGATAACTCGCTGTTCCAGAGGTCACAGGGGTCAGGAGCAGATTTGCAGCAACATTCCCAGTTCACCGCTTCACTCAGGGACATTTCACAGTGATGTGAAATCTTGCAGAATTTAAAAGAGCTAGACCAATGCAGTGCTTTAAAAGGAGCTGATACAATGCCAGCATGACTGATCAAACTGAATACAAGAATGTACTGTACGCATGACTTTAGACTAAGAAACATTTTCACTGTTCACTTGTTATTGTTAACGAACATGATGTCCAGAAATCCACTTACTAAAGCTCATTACATGGCAGCCAATCTGAAGTTATTTATACAGAGTAGTGCTTCCATCATGTGGAGGCTAGTTATGTCATTTTTCCAAACCACTTAACAGAACTTGGATTTCTGAAAACACATCGCCTTCTTATAAAATAACTGGACTTTTGTTAGATTCTTTAACAAGTTGTAGCATTAAGTGAAAGCCTTATTGTACAGAAAGTCTGATTGAATGGACAAACAAACAAACAAACAAAAAGTGAACATGAATATAAAGCTAGTGTTCAAGAATATATTTCATAAATCATATTTGTCCACTTTGATACCTCTCTGACAGCAATGTGGGCTAAAGGAAAAAAAACAAAAGACACTGCACCTTCAATTGTCACGAAACTTTATTTAAACATATATTACATACAATATATTACATAATTGCTATTCAAAGCATGTGCAAATTGTAAATCAAAACATGTTGGGATGTTTAACAGTATACTGCCTTCATGTTAAAACCCACTACACAAGTAGGAAAAACTGTACAAAAGAATAGTGTTCTTCAGCGTGTTGTCACAATGTGTGGCACTAGCAGGTTAACAACACCCCTTTGATAAAGTTTCCCCATTTCCATCCCCTTCAATATCAAAACTGATTATGGAAGCAAATCCAAAACCCCCCCAGCAATTTTGGCCATTTGCCCCAGAGCCAAAAGAGGAAACAGGGAGATAATTTTCTGTGAGTGGAACAGTGATTAACACCAGTTTTGCCATGGCAACCATACTGAACAGACCTGGCAAGCTGCCGAATGAAAACCCCACCAGAGGAAACTCTTTTAGCATGTAATAACAATCATTAACCATCCTAATGTTGCTGTGAGCTGCCCTGAACATGACTAAATTAAGTACATCTGGGCTGTTTGGAATGAGCCTTGGAGGTTGTGGGGAAGTCAACACATGGTGCTGACAAAGGCTACTGCGCAGGTGGGCCCTGCAAGATGAAGAGCCATCTCCATAGAAACAAACACGAGTACAGAAGATTAGGAAAATGTTGTGAGATGCAGACAGAGCTAGAATAGCAGTTTTAAAATGTACTCCAGCAAAACTGAAGCTTTAAATCTATTCGGGTCCTTGTTTCAGTTAGGAGGTAATGGCAGAGATGACTCCACAGAGTTCTGAGACAAAAAGGTATGTATCCACTATGTAACACAACAAACAGGCAAAAATGTGGCTTTTCCAAAAAACAAAATCCCTGCAGTGATGTTACCAAACAGCAAACAAAGGCATTCCTGCATGCCCAGCTCCAATTAATTCCAAAGTATCTCAGCTGGTGCCGCTACTGTCCGACAGACCATGGCAACAGCAATGCTACTTTGTGACATGACTCAGAGAGAAAGCGAAACACCAGATCCAGAGTCAAGTGACAAAATGCATTAGCTCTCTGGAACGCCGGGGCCGTGCAGACTAATTGTGAGCTGGACAGATTCAAACTACTCAGCTTCAGGCACAAACAGGCGCAATCATTTTTCATCGGCCAGCTGAGGACACCTGTGCCTTATCCACAGGCAGCTGGGGCTGTGTTGGCAGGAGTCTCAGTCAGTCCCCCTCAATCAGCTATAGCGTGCATCTCCAAACATGACGACAAGGAAGGATTTAAATCCAGAGGCTGACATTATTTGATCCTTAGACCTTATGCCTCTTATTCTGTCACTCACATCTCTCCCACGGTGAAGAGAACAGAGAGGAGCACCACCCAAAGCCAGGCGGCACGACGAGGTGGCGTGGGATGGTTAAAAACGGTGGATTCAAGGCAATGCCTCACCAGTCAGCTGAATAACAAGACTTCCGCTTGTTTCTGACTGGATGAGCAGCAAGCCGCTGTGTCCGCCTGCGGTACTGGGCTTGAACTGGACGGGTAGCTTCAGATAGTGCTGGGATCTAAAGGTCGAGGAAGAACAAAGACGGTTACTGAACGGCTGGAACAATTTGAAATGTGTGTGTATACATAATGTGAAGAAGCACAAATATAGATTCAAAATGCATTCAAATATGCACGGCACTCATCTAAAAATAAATAAAATCCTACACTGTCACCGTTTCATATTGTTTCAAGTATAATTGATATCAGTCACAACCACTTTGCACAGTGATGGAACACTTGAACCTGAAATGACCAGTCCGTCTACTATTAATGCATCTTTTAGCCATTCTAAAACAAAGCTTTAAAAAGTCTTTTATTTGTGGATTAATTACTGTTTTCTAATGTTGTACAGAACAAATAATGAATCAATGGTGAAAACAATCACATGATGCAGCCATATATCAATGACTAGCACTAATAATCCATTCATAACTAGCAGAAAATGAATGCAGGGATTAACTACAGCAATTTAAGGTCCAGTTTAAATTTTAGATGGTTAGAGAACTACTTCAACTATACTGGTTATATATTCAAGTTGGCTTTTGGTCAGCTTTAGATACAGAGGTATTTCAGAACCAAATGCTTATACTAAGACCCATACAAGGGAAACTGGAGAAGCATTTCTTTAAACCTGTGGTCATCGTAATGAGATCCACAACATGCTGGGAACACCACAATCACAAATCCACACACAGCAGTGCTCACAGCACACCTATCGCAAAGCTGGGGGAGGTTCAGGTTGTGACACTGTTTCACGTAACTGTCATGCTTCACTATGGAATGTGTCACAGTACTTTCATTTTATTGGTGAAGCAAATACATTTCAGTATTTCATTTCCATACTAGGCATCATTTTAGCCACTACAAAACAACAAATAATGTGCACATTCTGAACACTGTTCCTCACCAGCACAGCACAGCACAACACAACTGGTACCTGTGACCAAGCCGCCCCTCCAAACGCCTTTGTCAGGCAAAAACATCACTCGTACTCAGGCCTCAAGTATATACTCTAGAAAGTTAGATCATCCTCCTGGTCCCAGCTTCTCACAGGACCTCCCCACAGTGAGCATTCACAATGGGAAAATGACATTATGCAGTCTCCAAGTTAGACCACAGAACATCTTTTTGATTAAACGTGATCTAACCAACTACTTAGTTGTATGATAACAATACCAGAAAACTTCAAGAGCTCCAAATAAGCCTAAACCAAGTCTAAAAGCAGCAATCAAAAGGTTTGTGTTTGTTGTAATAAACATCAGACTCACCTCAGAGAATATCTGGAATGCTTGATGTAGAAGGGCTCACTAGGGTTTACAAATGTCAGCTGCAAGTCAATTAGAGAAGCCACACATCACATATCAAATCCATGCAAAGCACAGTGACAAGTGTTAGGGGTGTTACTGTATTTTTCACTCAGTATAATTACATCAACTCAGGCATGCAATTTCTTTTAGTGGTACAGAGAATCACAAATATAGTCAAGGTATCTCTACTTCTGCTTCCTTAACACATTATGTCATCTCCAGAGGCAACTCAAACTTAAGAATGACTTCTTTTAAAACACTCTCATATCTTACTTCCTTGCTCGTGTTAACCCTGTGACAACTTCACTTTTCTGACATGATCTTACTGCATTTGCAGGTAAGTGAACTTCAGTTTCTGCTGCAGTAGGCAAGAAAAAAAAAAAAACCTTACACCTTCATGAGAATAAATTATGCCCCACCTCATGCGTGTCGGACGAGTTGTTGCGGACGTTGACCTTTAGAGAGCTGGACTCACCCACCCGTGTGGCAGGGAAGGTGTACAGGTCCTGTGGTGAATACACACCCCTCCGCACGACCTCCTCCTGGCTGAGGATTACAAAATGTGCCACTTTAAACGGGGGGCATAACCATCATGAAACAACCGGAAATTCACAGTGACTCAGTGTTTAAAAACAACATAACTACGGTATGAATTTAGGTTGAAAGGGGTCCTATAATTGGGGTTTTTTTTCGGTCAAATATGCTGTCAGAGTGGGGGATACTCAATTTAAAAATGCACAAGTTTAGAAAAAAAAAAGTTTGTATGAGTGATCCAGCACAAGCCTCTGGCTATGACCACAGAAACCCCAACCACCTGCAATTCAAACCTTCTGTTTGTGAGTAGCAGCCAATCAGTTGGCCTGAAGGGATAGGAGATCAAAATCACTCCATGTACTGAGAAGCTGTATAAAGGCCGAGTACAGGATAGATAATCATGCAGAACTACTCTAGCAGGGTACAGGGATAACTGTTAGAATTCAATTCTAGCGCAGTCATTTCATAAAATCATCTTCTTGATTTCCTCCCATCACTATAGCTAACCTAAATTTACTAAATAAACCCACATGTGCTACATAAAACAATATTCTTGTGTTTTTTCTGAATGGGATCTCCTCCATGATTAGATTTAGGTGGAGTTACCTGATTTTGCTAGATGAGGACTCGGGTCTCTTCTTGGTCTTGACTGTGGCCTCTGTCTTCACTAGAGAGCAGTCTCCTTCCTGTGGTCCTCCCACTGGTCCAGATTTTGTTCCCTTTGGACACAGACATTTAAGATTCAGCCTGTTAGCTTTCAGTGCAACTTAAAAACTGCTGCTCACTAAAAAAAATAAATAAATACAAAAACACCTGAATCTAACACCATTTATCCCTGGGAGACATACAGCTACGTGCTGGCTTACTAAATTATATGC